TGAATCACAGTTGTTGCCTTATCATGTTCATTAATCCTAATAAGGAAATGGGGTTTCTCAATATAAGTAGAAGAATTAGTCGTATCAGTAATTTTTTCAGTTTTAGCAATATTTGGTTCTTCACAAATTTCAATAGGTGGGTGAAATTTAAACCACTTCTCCTTAGGGGGATCAACATGAGAAGAAAATGATTCACAAAAAGCGGCTACTATCTCAGAGTCAAGTCCGTATTTTGCACTCAGCTTATGAAAAACATATGCTTCTATAAAAGACTTAACACAATCAAATTCAAGATTTATACCTGACTCGTTACCTTTGTTGATTTCCCAATCTTCAGAGTTGCATTTAATTCTTTCAATAATATCCCATTGGATTCAATAGTTATATTCGTGAAGGAACCGACAAAGTAGTATCAAGTGTTGTTTTATCTTCAAGAGAAAGCCAAGCATAGAAGTTTTGCATAATAATTTCCCTCGAGAGCTCATGATTGGGGCATGTGTGCATCACGTATTTAAGCCTCCCCCAAGCTTGAGCGATACTTTCTCCTTCACGAGGCCAAAAATTATATATATATAATTTCGATCACGATGAACCAAGTGCATAGGATAAAATTTCTGATGGAATTCTAGCTTCAATCGGTTCCAATCCCATGTTTCGTTGTCATCCAATAACACGTATCAAGATAATGCCCTTCCCCTCAAAGATAAAGGGAATAATTTCTTCGTAACTCCATCCTCTGATAAACCTTTGAGCTTAAATAATTCACAAATTTCATATATATAGATTAAGTGCATGTCAGGTCTCCTATATAGGGATTAACAAATACTTTCTCCATAATACCCAAAGGGATTTCATAGTAAATATTTTCAATAGGTTCAGTAGGTTGAGGAGCGGATCTTACCACTTCCGATCAAGGTGAAGATACCCCGAACAAGCCCCTCAAAGGATTACCTTCCATAGTGACAAGTGAAGATAAAATTCAGCTTGTAATAAAAATGTTTCCTTACCAAAATTGCTTTACTCCCGGGCAACGGCGCCAGAAAAGAGTCTTGATGACCCACAAGTATAGTGGATCAATTGTAGTCCTTTCGGTAAGTAAGAGTGTTGAACCCAACGAGGAGCGGAAGGAATTGACAAGTGATTTTCAGTAAGGTATTTCCTGCAAGTGCTGAAAGTAGTAATAACTAATAGTTTGATAGTAAGATAATTCATAACAAGTAGCAAGTGGGCATAGTAACAAAGGTGCAGCAAGGGGGGCAATCCTTTTCTAGCAAAGGACAAGCCGAAAGTACTTCTTATAGTGAGCAAAGCGTTCTCGAGGACACATGGGAATATTGCCTAGTTAACTTTCATCATATTTTAGTTGATTTGCGTTCACTACTTTGATAATTTGATATGTGGGTGGACTGGTGCTAGGGTGTTGTTCTTACTCGAACAAGCAACCCACATATGATTACCCCCTCTCGCCAGCATCTGCAACTACGAAATAAGAATTAAGATAAATCTAACCATAGCATGAAACATATGGATCCAAATCAATCCCTTACGGAATAGCGCATAAACTAGGGTTTAAGCTTCTGTCACTCTCGCAACCCATCATCTACTTACAACTTCACAATGCCTTCCCCTAGGCCCAAACATAGTGAAGTGTCATGTAGTCTACGTTCACACGACACCACTGGAGGAAGAACAACATACATATCATCAAAATATTGAACAAATACCAACTTCACATGATTACTTATAACAAGACTTATCCCATGTCCTCAAGAACAAACGGAACTACTCACAAATCATATTCATGTTCAAGGTCATAGGAGTATAATATATGATTAAGGATCTGAACATATAATCTTCCACTAAGTAAACCAACTAGCATCAACTACAAAATGTAATCAACACTACTAGCAAGTAGTAACCCACAGGTAGCAATCTAAGGTTTGGAGGCAAAGATTGAATACAAGAAATGAACTAGGGTTTTAGATGAGATGGTGTTGGTGAAGATGTTGATGGAGATGAGCCCTCCATGATGAGAGGATCATTGGTGATGACAGTGGCTTCAATTTCCCCCTCCCGGAGGGAAGTATCCCCGGCAAAATCGCTCCGCCAAAGAGCAAAAGTGCTCATGCCAGGTTCCACCTCGAGACGGCGGCGCTTCATCGTGAAAGACTTCTCTTGATTTGTTTTCTATGGCAAATGGCTTCATATAGGAGAAGGAGGGCCACGAAGGCATGCTGGTGGGCCCACAAGCTCACATGGCGCGCCCTGAGGGGCGCGCCACCTGAGCTTGTGGCTCACTGGTGTGGCCCTCCTAGTATATCTTCTTCCACTATTTTTTATTAGTTCCAAAATAAATCTACATAAAGTTTTAGGTCATTTGGAGCTTCGGAGAATAGCTATCTCTGTTGTAGCTCTTCTCAGGTCTAGAATTCCAGCTGCCGGCAATTTTCCTCTTCATATAAATCTTGCATAATAAGAGAGAAAATGAATTAGAATTGCATCATAAAGTGAAATACTGATCCAAAATATTATAAATAACAGTAGGAAAACATGATGCAAAATGGACGTATCAGCAGCCAAAGGAAGTGAAAAGGCCATGGCAAACTGGTTCCCCATGGCCCTCGAAGGATCCGTCTGGTCATTGTTTATGAACCTGCCGGCCTCTTTCGTTACCTCATGGGAGGATCTGTGTCGGTAGTTTGTGTCCAACTTCCAGGGCATGTGTGCACAACCTGCACAGAGAGTGGCCTCTATGCCATCAAGTAGGCAAAATGAGAACCACTAAGATTGTTCATCCAGCGATTCTGCAATCTCCGAAACTCCATTCCTAAGATCAAACAGCAGCTGTCATGGTCACCTTTCACCATGGCATGTGCAATGGCAGTATGTTGGAGAAGCTCGGCACCCATGAGGTCACTTTGGCCAAGCTCTTTGCACAGGTGAACAACGTGCCAAGGTTGATGGACAAAAGAGAAATGTTATAATTTTGTATTTGGAGGTATTGTCATCTAGAAAAACGAGATATGACTTTGTTGCTTCACATGGCAGAAGAAAAACATGTAAGAGCAACTCCAATGCGGTCCATCAAAATGGACACCAACAAATATCTGAGGATACGTGTGGACGTGTCCGCGGACATGAATAGGGGCAAAGGCCATCCAACCCCATAAACCAAATGGCCGCCCCCTTTTTCCTAAGAAAATGAATAAAACTATACCAAATGACCGCCTCTGATCACTTTGACAAATGTATCTAGATCAATAGCAATTCAAAAGTACATTTAAATATGAAAGCACTCCTCGAAAGACGTTCAACAAGTTCTTCAATTTCGTTGACCCCAAAAGCCGCCTTAGTCTCAAGCTTTCTCTCCTTAAGCTTAAAATTCTTCATAGGAACATGTTGTTCAACCAGTTGGCATGCCCGTTGAGCTTCATTCAACAATGCATCATTGTGAAGGGTTTGTATTCCGTACTATGGTAGAACATCACGCCCGTACGAGGGTAGACAATGATATTATCAATGGGTTGCAACACTGAGCAAATAAATAAAATGATAAAAGCATAGAGCAACAAGACGCAAAACTTACGAGCTCTTCGAGCGGCGCGCCCCTTGGCCACCTTCCTCGCACTTGTGCATACACACTGTAATACTTGTTGGCGGCTTTTTGAATGGTATACCATCATTGGACTAGCAACCTCATATTATGCTTCATGCCTTGAAACTCCACACTTATGGCCAACGATGCATCACACAACAATTCATCCTCCTTCACTGAGTATGCAGTCATAATATTTTCTTCAAAGTCAACAACAACAATGTCAAAATATGCCGCTGTGACATTTGGCCTCACACTTGTGCGGGCATGGCATCCACCATGGACAACAGCGGCAAGACAACAATTCATCCTCCTTCACCGAGTACGCAGTCATAATATTTTCTTCAAAGTCAACAACAACAATGTTAAAATATTCCGCTAACACTTGTGTGGGCATGGCATCTGCCATGGACATCAGCAGCAAGGCCAATGGTATTTGTGTGCTGCCGAAATCCAAGATAGAACGACGACGTATGCCAAGACGGGGGTGGTGGCTTGCTGGAGCGGCCGAGGGTGCGGATGGAGAGCATAGGGGAAAGGACATAGTGAGAAAAAAAGGCTCCGGGTGGGGTTTTTGTGTCGCGATGTCGAATGCACACGTGGTGGATGTCCAATGTCCAGACTCCCAAAAACCTCCCATAGGTTTGTTCCGGTTTGTATGTTTTGTTCTAGTTTGTAGGATTTCAAGCATCCAGACAAGTCCCCAAAAACCTCCCATAGGTTTGGTTCCGATTTGTAGGATTTCAAGCATCCGCACAAGTCCAGAAAAATTTAGCGAGCGGCATTGGATGGCAAAAAATGTCGGAACCAAACATTTAGCCAACCACGTTGGAGATGCCCTAAGGAACTTCCACACGAAAACGCCAACGCGGAACTTCCACACGAAAACGGAAAAGGTATGTCCACCGACACAGATAGTAAAGTGCAACATGTCTGCTCATGTAAGCATGCGCTCAGCATGATGATAGTGACACAACAAACCCTGGTAAAGATAAATTGACAGAGCTTCATCCTCGATGAGAACATATCTACCATGAGAGCTGGAGTTATGTATAAAGAAGAATAGATACAGATAGGGGAACTGGAGAATGGTTTATGATGCTGTAATGCGACAAACCAAAAGAAAAAAAAAACATATGAACATGGTTCCACTCTTAACTCCAAAGCGCTCCATGGTAGTACTAGTACTGAAGCCATCAATCTTACAGGTATTCATTGCCCAACCAAAAAAAAAGCAAAATGCAAAAAATACTACACAATCAAGCCGTGAGCAACTGACTATCAATATTGTACTAAACCATAATCACACCTTGCATTTGCACATTTTTCAATCCATAAAATAAACCCAAAGTCAAATATTGTTTTCCCTTTTCCCCAGGTGAACTGCCAGAACGAGGCTAGATAGCTATACTGGAATTACATCACCGTTCGACGTGTCTTCACATCTTAAGACTAGTCCATCAAGGCTAGTTGGGAGGAGGCACTTGCCCCACTGGCAACCAGTGTTGAAGGGTTCAGGTGGTGGAACAATCATCAGCACATTATCGTTCCTTTGAACAACACCGATGACACTAACAGTGTTTCCCTCCTTAATGTATCTGCGATGTAAACATCCATGTCAAATGAAATGGGTAGCTATGAATACGATAGAGGTGCAAAAGCCAGAACAAGAAACAGTAATACCCTTCTTTTAGGCGCATTATACGATCATCACTTGAGAGGTTCCTTTCCCGTAGCCATCTCAAAAATTCAGGGGACATGTCCTTGTTTTCTGGATTTATGTCAATAACAACAGCTTCATCGACATATGGGATTAGCCGTGCACCATATCCTATTTTGACCAATGCTCGCAGCCCAGATTGGAAATCAGAGATGTAGAAATCGACCGCATGCCGCTGCAGTAGTTGTATACAAAAGGTAAATGTAAGAGGAAAGATTATTAACAATAAGAGTTGCAATAGTTGGGGTTTTCAGTTAAATCCTTATATTGCCTCATTATTGTAGGATTGTGAGATCCACATCATCTTGGTGATGAAAATTTCTAGCTAATAAGAAACTCACTTCAATTGAACGTAATCCCCAAGTAAATCGGCGATGCTGAGTGTTGGCAGCTTTTGAGTCCCAGCCCCTATACTCATACAAGCAGGACGAAGTGTATACACATCTTGGAACCCTTTGAAATGAGGACTCTAGGGGGAAATTTCCACAAGTAACAACCTGTCAAGTTAAATACGATAAATAAGATCCTATTACTACTGAATATAAAAGTGCTACTGCTTAAAACAGTTATGAACATAAGCTAACATGGAAAAAAAATATGGAGAAATGAATATATTATTACAAGATGCACAATCGAATTCATGTCCTTGTACTAGGAAAACATCACATCTCTCTTTAAGCATAATATATGTTGTAATCTTGTCATGGTATGGATCTCTGCGACCAAGTTTACTTTTTGGAACCATCTGCAGTATTCTGCCAACCTATGTATGAATTATCTTACTCCCTCCGTCTCATAATATAAGAGCATTTTTTACACTACACTAGTATGAATAACGCTCTTATATTATGGGACGGAGGGAGTAATACTGAAACAGCTAGTAGCGCGGTGACTAAGTGACCTTGGTAGGATGTGCTCCTGGAACAAAAATAATATTTTCCATTCTTTCAAAAAGATCTAAAAACAATTGCACATGCAGATGAGTGAGTATTATGTGTAGACTTTATGTTTGTGGTATAAACATGCATATGCTTGTGTCCTGTGCAAAAACAAAAAAACTTAGTGCACAAAAATTTAGTGCATAATATATGCTTGCACATACATAGTAATACTACCATATGTGCATGACTGAATTTTTGCTGCATTTTTTTTGAAACTTTAAATGACCTTCTCATTTTTCTAAACTAAACAGTGCATGTGAGCTCAAGTGCAACAAACACACGTAGCATTGCTACATTACGAGTTAACAATGCAATTCAGCAACACACCAGAACTGGCAAAGAAACAATGTAATTTGAGAATTACTTCTAAATTGTAACAATAACGAACAAATATATGACAAAAACAGAAAGCAGAAAATTAAATGTAAAACATTAAGGGAAGGAATGAATAGATGAAATAATTTAAAGAGTCCAAAAAGGTGACCAGCATTACACATACCCCTGTGACCTTCACATACTCTCCATCTTTCGCAATTCTAAGATCAGCATCAGGATAGCGACTGACAAATCTAGTCATGCCTCTTGTTCCCCAGCAAATGTTCCAAACCAAGAGCGCAGCAACAAATCCAAATATCACCACAACAACTACCAGCAAAATCGAATTATGAACAGCAGCTAGAATGAAGCCACCTGCTATGAACCCCATCGCAAAGAGCAGAATAGCCGCCCATAGTATCGGCTTTGGCAAACTGGCCTTAATTGAGTAGCTATTTTGCTCATTAAGATTTGTAACAGCCGGGTTGTAAGCAGAAGAGGTGGCACGCATCTTCATCGAAACAGTAGAATCAAGAGTGCCTGATACTTTTCGTAGAGCACCAGATGAGTTCAACTGTCCAGAGGAGATAGGTCCTGATGTGATGAGCCCAGTTGTCGGAAGAATAGGCGGTAGATGGCCAGAATTCTGGCGAGCCATTGGGGTCACTCCTCCTGACTGGGGGCCAGAGGATCTCTTTGTTGGTTCTCCATGCTTATTGAGCGGTCCAGAATTAGATTTTGCCCTTGCAGAACCTCCAGTGCCAGGAACCGCTGCTGAAATAGAGCCAGAGTAGTTGGATCGAGAAGCAGCACTAGATACTGGTCCAGAATTGGAAGCAGCACCACCAAATGAAGTATTCCTTGAAGGTTGATTACCCAAAGGGCCAGATTTCCGTGACTTCTCAGCATGGAGATCAAACATTTTCCCTAGTTCTCCTGATTTCTTGATGTCACCCCCAGTGTATGGCATAGCTGCAGAGCAAACAACCGGAGCCTTCTCCTTTGGTTGCTCAGGTCGCCCAGAGACATAAAGCCCATTGCTTAATTGGTGGGATGGAAACCGAGAACCCATATTCTGAATTCTCAGATACAACAAACACCTTGCATCAGCACCTGAAGGAAAACATATCAAACAAATGCAACGTCAATTTGGTTGTACAAAAAGGGGTATGCACATAAGATTCATAATTATCCCATTCAGATGGAGAATTAGAAAACAAACTGCACCAGAATACAAAACAAGAGAAACTTGGTACATAGAACCACCCAGTACATACGATTACTAAAGATGGGACATGGAAGAGCTTTAGATGGAAGAACGATCTCACAGAGTTCTGCCAAGTCCCAACAGATTGTAGCAGCTCAAACAGTTCAAGGCGACTGATGGTCTAAAACTTCCAAAATATAGAACCATTAATTACGGAATAAATCCTACCAAAAGTAGCAAAAGTAAATCTGCAGATACCTTAGAGCATGTAGCTATGATTTCACCATGCAAGCATCATAGTAACAGCGATTTGCAAAAAGAAACAACTAGCTACTTGTTGTACATTAAATAGTTCATCGCTAACTCAACATATTCCGTCAAACAAATGGCAGAACAATAGGAATTTTATTTTGTAGAATGGGCAGGTAGGCAGTGAGAAGCGAATTAATTGTGGTAATGTTGTGTTCTTACTCCTTAAGCAGGGTGAAACTACACAGCCGCCCCAGAGTCTTACTAGCAGAAATTTACAGCCAAAACAGACAGAAGCAGTAGTCATCAAAAGCAAACCATCTGATTTAGCAGCGCCTTAATTTTGGGGGCAACGCACACTTTTGTGATAAACTAAAGCTCAGCTCCCTCCAAAAGGAAGTTAAACAATACAGACAAGCCCCGGTAAAACATGCAAAATTCGCGGAGGGAGCTAAAGTATTCGCACAAAAAATTGATAGCGATGGTTACATCAAAAGCAGGAATGAGTCTTCCAAATGATTTTCAGCAGTGGAATAAACAACCAAAAATGACACCAACACCACTAGATCTTGAAGTAGGTATAGCTTAAAGCTCCAGCAAAAACCTACCGGACAGCTCAATTCGAACAAGAAGCGATGGAGGAGCATATTGAACAACCTACAGTCCACTCCACCAAGCTGTTGAGTGGGAGATTCTTTCTACTCTACTTAACTCCAATGCATATATAATCCATAACCTGGTGTGAGCTCATATTTAAGTGCAACTCATCATCATTCTAATCGCTAGACTGAGAAAAGCTCAGTTGTACTATGGAAGGCGTCATCACGCAGCAATGCGTGCATCTGCAGATCCAGATGCTAGTGCCAGATCCAGGCAAATTTCTCAGTCCAAGAACTAAAAACACTGCAAAGTTTACACAAACCAACACAAGATCCGGACAACGCGGGCCGAACAAGACACAAATAATATGGGAAAATAAACCTCCGGCCATTATTACTCCACCAAGTAGAAAACGAACAAATCCGCGACAAAAGGCTGGCGGGGATCGAGCGTTGAAGAAAGAAACATTTGAACCAGCTTGTCCGCACTGACGGCAAAACAAAGAAGAGGGCCAAAAGAGGGGCACACTCGGGGAGCAATCCAGACAAGTTAGGGCTCGTCACCAACCGAAGAAACCAATCCTCCAAGCCCGGGTGGATCTCCGTTATATGGTGGCCTAGCAGAGGAGTGCGACGGCGACGACGGAGGCGGAACGGGAATGCCAGAACGATTCCTCTGTGGCGGCGTGCGAGCGCGCGTGGATGGGTGGAAATGGAATAGAAGGAGTGGAGGGAGGAGGGTTGTTCGGCCGAGATGGTGGGTTGGATGACACCGTCGGCGCTGTGGGAAAAGGAAGCTCTCTGGGTGTGTCCGTCCGTCTGTCTCTGTCGCTGTTGGTGGACCTACGCAGGCAGGAGCAACTCAGCACAGTCGCCGTACACGCAGCCTTCAAAACATTTTAGAGCAACTCCCCTCGCTGGAGAAAAAAAATTATTTTTTTTAAAAGAGGCGCTTTATATTATTTAAAAGGTTTAAGCATTACAACCGACCTCTCCATAATTAAGATAGTCCTCTCGCACAAATAAAAAATAAAATGATGGAATACAAAGATAGAGTCTGTATAACGCTTAAAGCGGAGGTGGGCCAAACCTAAGAGCATCTCCAACAGCCGCGCTAAAGCGCCGCGCGCAAAAAACCTGTTACCGCACGCGCTGCGGCTGGTTTTGCGCGCCCGCCTGCGCTGGCTCCAGCAGCGGCGCTATAATGCAGCGCGCGCGCCACTCCAGCAGGGCGCAAAAATACAGCGCGCGCGCCGCACAAACCACATGTACATTTCAAAGAAGATGAGCAAAAATGATCAAACAAACAAAATAAAATTCAATAACAAATAGTTCAAAATAAATCATTACAACTCAAACAAATAGTTTATCGTTCAGTACAACAACAAATAGTTCAAAATAAATTATTACAACACAACAAATAGTTCATGAACAATACAATGTCGAGTGCAGATATCATCATGCTCTTTGTCGTCCATGCCATGCTCACCACTCTTCAATTAGATCATTCTGAAGTTCCTTGTGCGTTGCGGGACGCCGAATGGCATGATAGGAGGCAACAAAACGGGCTACCCTTTCAGCCCTCCGCCGCACTCGCACGGGATGTCCCAAGAGCTCATACTGTGAGTAGTCTAAATCTTGGCCACGCTCATTCTCGATGATCATGTTGTGCATGATCACACAAGCGTGCATGATGTACCAAAGCATTTTTTGATCCCAAAATCTTGCCGGTCCTCTCACAATAGCAAATTGGGCTTGCAAAATCCCAAATGCTCTCTCCACATCTTTTCTAGCCGCCGCCTGAGTATTGTGGAAATCAAGCGCTTGACACACATGATGGCTTGGCTCTCACCCATAGCCAGATGATCATCAACTAGATCAGCCGGGATACCGTATGCCAACATACGCAAAGCGGCTGTCACCTTCAGAAAAGTGCTATGCCCGAGCTCTCCGGCTGCATTCCTCCTTTGCTGGAAAAACCGGTCATGGCTCGCTAGTTTCTCTGCAATGCGCCTGAACAAGTCGATGCTCATCCTAAACCGGCGACGAAAATACGACTCCGGGTATGTGGGATTTTCCACGAAATAGTTCTTCATCAATCTGTTATGGGCATCAATCCTATTTCTCCAAATTTTCTCCCGACCCATAACCGAACCACCGTGCTTCGGTTTTTTATTGATATGCATAGCTACAATCATTGCAAGATCCTCCTCCTCTTCCATATCAAATTCTTCTTCGGAAGAATCATACGACGAACTCATCTACAATGTTCAATACTATACTATAAAAACTACAATTCAAAACATGCACCAAATTCATGAAGTTTGAGCAATACATACCTTGTAGGCGTTTTGTCAAACACCTTGCGGGCGCGGCGCGGCAGCGAGCGCTCGGGCGCTGTTCCTCGAACGACGAAGGCGCACGGGCGCCGGCGGTACTAGGAGGGGATGGGCGGAAGCGCGGGCGCGCGGGGATAGGCCGGGAAAGCCTGAGACGGTCGCCGGGGTGCGCGGGCGGCGGCGGCGGCGCGGCCGGTCGGGGGTGGAAGCGCGAGAGGAAGAGCGGGCGCGAGCGCTCGAGTGTGCCGCGCGCTGTAGTGGGCGCCCGAAATACGCCGTGCGGGTAAGTGTTTTTGACCGCGCGCCCAACCCGTTTTAGCGCGCGCGCCGTTTTTGCGCGCCCGCTGGAGCGCCCTGACGCGTTGCGCGCGCGCTAAAACGACCTATTTTGCGGCGCGGCGCTAGTTTAGCGCGGCTGTTGGAGATGCTCTAAGACCATGTTGTCACCCATGTTGGATAAAAGTACCCCTCGATGTATCCTTCAATCGTGTACACAAGGTCTTGATTCTCCGTGCGTGGTAGAAAGGACCATAAACAAAGAGTCCCGGTACATCTGTAAATAATCTGCATTAGAGAAGTACTTTTATCCTTAAAAACCTTATCATTTCTACATAGCTAAAGCGACAAAATAACGGCAAGCGCTCCCATCCTAAAAAGAGTTCTAAACCTGTGATCAATCTCATGTGACCAGTTGCCGAATACATTAGCAACACTGCAAGGAGGATACAAGTCAGAAGCTATCCAGATGACTGACCATATAGACCGAGCCAATTTGCATTGGAAGAATAAATGTTTTATTGTCTCATCATGATGACAAAAAACACATCGCGGACTTCCATGCCAATTCCTCTTGATAAGGTTGTCTTTAATAAGAATGACTCCGCGACGAAGATACCATGCAAATATTTTATTCTTAAGAGGTATCTTCATCTTTCGGATCTTCTTGTTATTATCAACTGGCACATCGGATTGGATTAACGCTCTATACATAGAATCCACTGAGAATTGTCCATTTCCATGTAGGTTCCGTCAAAATACATCAGACCCATTTGACAATTGCATCGTGGACAACCGTTGAAGCAGGATGTACCACGATTGGAGCCTGAGTCCAATTAAATATCTTCTGAACGTCACATTTGGCGGAAATGATCCCATTACAGTGGCAATAGTATCGCCCTTGTGATGCACAATGTTGTATAGAGCCGGATATTGTTCCCAGAGTGTGGCATTTCCTAGCCACTTGTCCTCCCAGAATCTAATTTCCGAGCCATCCTTAATCGAAAAGGATCCATAGGATAAGAAATATTTCTTCGTAGCTATTAGACCCGCCCAAAAGTGAGAATCCCCAGGCTTCTGGTATAGTTGGGATACCGCCTTGGAGCCCACATATTTCCTCCTCGGGAGGGTTTGCCATACACCATCTTCCATCAGTAATTTAAACAACCATTTGCCGAGGAGGGCCATATTCTTAACCTCAAGGTCATGAATGCCCAACCCGCCTTGGTCTTTGGAACGGCAAACCACACTCCATTTAGCCAGTCGATATTTCTTCCGCTCGTTGTCTCCTTGCCAAAAGAATCTTGATCGGAAATAATCCAATTTGTGTAGAAACTCCTTTTGGCATCTGGAAGAAGGAAATCATATATACTACCATATTACTTAGTACTGAGTTTATGAGGACCAATCTTCCATCCAGAGACACCAGTTTACCTTTCCAACTGCTAAGTCTTTTTTGCAGCCTCTCCTCGATGTCGACGTGTTTCCATTCAGCATTTGTGAGTCTTCTATAATGTATCGGTATCCCCAAATATGTGATAGGAAACTGGCCCAACACACATCTGAACAGTTCAGCATACAGGTGGGCCTCGTCTTGAGCCTCGCCAGAACAAAACAATTCACTTTTATGAAAGTTGATCTTTAGACCTGAGAGTTGCTCGAATGTTGATAAAATTAATTTCAGATTTCTCGCTTTCTTGAGATCATGATCCATAAAGAGAATTGTATCATCAGCATATTGAAGTATAGAAAGACCACCATCAACTAGATGACTTACTACCCCATCAATTTGGCCATCAACCTTGGCACGCTCAATCATGACCGCTAGCATATCCGCCACTATATTGAATAGCATGGGCGATACCGAGTCACCTTGTCACAATCCCTTCTTTGTTTGGAAATAGTGTCCAACGTCATCATTGACCTTAATGGCAACACTACCTCCAGAAATGAAGCTATGGACCATAGCGCACCACTCTACAGAAAATCCTTTCATTCTGAGAGTCTATTGAATAAATGGCCATTTGACTTTGTCATACGCTTTTTCAAAGTCTATTTTGAGTACCACCCCATTCAACTTTTTCTGATGTAAT